ATTTTTAAGTAGAGGAATAATATGAGAAGTAATTTCATTTAACTAAAAAACGTAAACTGTCGTGTCAAAGAGTTTTTAATAACTCAAAAAAATTAAGATGGAATAAGGGAATTAATCCCTTGTTTGAAAAAACTGCTTTTTTCACACAGCCAAATCATGGGTTTTATGAAAGTTTTTAAAATTCTTTATTTTATTATTTTCTTTCCATTATATTTCTTTTGTTATTTTTTAATTATTATTCGTTAATTCATTTTTTTTTTCTCAACTTTTTTTTTTCTCCCACTTTTCTACTTTTTTTATTTAATGTTCCTTATTCCTTTTTAAATGTGTTTTTTTTTTTCTTTCAATTATTTGTGTTTAACATTGTTTTCCTTTATTTTATAACTCTTTCTTCTATTATTTGTATTTTGTTTTTGGATTTATTGTTTCATTTTTAGTTATTTATTTTTTTGTTTTGTTTTCTAATATATAAAAATTATTTTTATCTATCAAATATTTAATATATAACTGAAACGAAGGAGGAAGACAGTAAATTATAATAGATATATTTTAAGTTGGAAAAAGTGAAATAAATGAATTATATTTAATTTTTTAAATATAACATATCAATTATTTACTATTACAAGTTCGTACAGTTTTATTGAAATTATTTATTTAATAATAATTATTAATGTTCATGGTTAAATAAATTCAGTACTCTAAAATTTAAGGTAGGTTGTTTATAATATACTTAAACTAAACTTGATTTTAATTGGTTACATTTATTTAATAGTTTTGACTTAATAAAAATAATCTAACTAACATTAATTAAATAATTTTATAGAAGTAATTATTAAAATTAAATAAAAATATTATTTATTTATTTATATGAAATATTATTTTATTCACATAGTTATTTAATTCTAGATTTTAATGATGGGAAGCATATTATGGGAATAATCTTTTTATCATTTCTAAATACTTGGTATTAATTTTTAGGTTTATTACATATAGTTTTATTTTTTTAAAAAATAAAACAAATACTCTTATTTTCTTTTACATATGAAACATAAAATTAAATCTCGTATTTTAGGTTAGTTGAATTATATTAATGTGATCAATGTTTTAAAATTTTATTGTATAAATTTGACAATATCATTATTGAATTTTTAATATAAACAAATATTTATAAATTTGACTAACAAATATTTACTTTTTAGCCAATATCATTCACTCACCTAATCTCTCTGAAAAAATTCAATGGTTAGGTAACAGTAATTTTCAATACTTTACTTTTTCTTTTTCACTAGGGCATGGTTAAAACTGTAATTTTACGAAGGATGGTTGAACTTCGAAGCGAAGAAAAGCCGAAGGTAAGGGGTAAGGCTAAGCCAATGGCGATGGAACGGTGACGTTTCTTGGGTTAAAGGGAGTTGGTCTCGTCTCGAGCCGTCGGCGGTTAAAAAAAATGTTCAAAGTGTGGGTCCCACTCTCAGCAAGTGGGTGACAAGTGGTTAACAGTGAGTGAATTACTCGACCATTTTTTTGAAAAAGTAAAAAGTACTTTCCGTCTTAGACTTTATATTGCGGACCATCGTACCTTTCTTAAGACTCGGTTGTCGGGTAGTGGGCTGAAAAGCTAACAAAAAAGGCCCACTACTCAACCCTGGGCCCTCCAGCCCATTATCACACTTTTGGTGGCGGCCGTCGGCCACGAAGTCTCCGGCGGGGACCTTTTATTTGCTGCCCAAAAGTCTTTTGTGCTGAAGGGAATCCACCATAATCGTGAGTCATCCAACAGGTATGTCTATTTCTGTTCAAATTGGGTTGAATAATTTTTTCTTTCGACCATTAAAAAGTTTGAGTTAATTACCTTACCTCGTAAGTAACGATAACGGGTATGGTTGAACAGGTATGTCTATTTCTGTTCAAACCGACCTTAAGTATACTAAACTTGCACTAGACCTGACCCATTTGCTCCGCATAAAACAATATCTAATCTTACCTCGTAATCTATATAATCCAGCTCAACACTAATACTTCAGGTAGGGTTGGCTTCATTGTATATCCTTATTTTGCACTTTATTGATATATTTAAATATTTAAAACTGGTTGATAAAATAAAAAAAACTATAAAAGTTGAAGGGATAATGTTATTTTCAAAATTTTATAGATAAAAATTATTGTAATAAAATATTTGATTTTTTTTATAAACAAGTTAAAAAGGAATATTAATAATTTTTTAATTTATAAATATTTTTAAAACACGTGAGAACGACCAAATTGAACCCAAGTATATCATTTGTATTCCCCGCCACCTGGCCATTCGGACGCGTTTTGGCGCGAAATTTCGGGTTTTCATTCTTTTCTTCTTCCTCTTTCAATTGAGTATCTTCTTTTATCCACCGTTCTTCACTTCGCAGCAATGTCCGTCATCTGAAACCGTCTCGAAGAAATTAATACGCTGAATTGTTTCTGGAGTTTAAGCAAACAGCCACTTGTCTACTCAACTCATTTACAATCCAACAGGTTTCTAATACTAATCATACTTCAATCGAGGCCGTAGCGCAACATTAGATATAGAAATGTAAGGATTACTTCGATTCATACTTTTCATTGGTTGATTGCTTTCTTCGAGTTACTGAGTTGCACTTCTTTTTTCCTCTTATTATACTCGATTCAGATGTTTATCGAGATTGCGAGTATCATGTAGTTGATTTAACTATAATTTTTGGGCCTATTACTTGCTTGCTTTCAATAGGCTGATTCCCTGGAAGCGTTCCTCTGTTAAGGAATAAGTAAATTGAATGGGTGGTTTATCTTGCGCCTTCCGTTATCATTATAGGGCATCTTCTAAAGTATGAACAAAATATGAGTTCACGGAATCACTATGAACACATTGCACTGTACTTTGTTCAATATATTGTATCATTAATCATAAAGCAGGTTCACAATATCTCCTCCACTAGTTTTGTCCAAGGTACTCATTGATCTGTTTCTATTGCCTTGAATGTTTTAACTGTTTCTATTGCCTTGAACACAATGGAATCCTTCAGCAATGAGAATAGGATTTTCCCATATGATGCATGCCAAAGGTCATTTAAATCTGTCTTAGAAGAAGTCCAATTAGAGCTAGGAAAAGCTGTCTGCTAATTATGATGATGTTATGTTAGTTAGAGGAAAATTTCATGATTTTTAAGATCCGTCTTAAAACGTAAGTGCTGATTTGCCTATTCTGCATCATTTGCATTATGCTAACCTTCACTTGATGAGGCAGTCACCCATGAGTTAGAAACCAATGAGTTAGAACCTGCAGTAACAACATAAGCACACTACTAGCACATATTATCTACTTCAGTCCGTTACGTATAGTTGTTAGTTTCACGATTTTAAAACGCGTCTGTTAAGGAGAGGTTTCTACACCTTTATGAGGAATGTTTCGTTCCTCTCTCCAATCGACGTAAGATCTCACAATTTTGTAGTAGCCCAACCTCACCGATAGTCTTATAGTTTTAAAATACATCTACTAAGGAGAGGTTAAACACCCTTATAAAATATGTTTCGTTCCACTCTCTATCTGATGTAGGATTTCACCATCAGATTTCACCGGAAATAGACATTGGACTAGTCAATCACATCAGCTATGCACAAGTTCTTGGTGATATCTCACATGGATAAGGTATCACCTATTTTTTATTCATTTGTAATGTACGCTTTAGTTGCAGTACGGTTTTCTTTGACAATATGTTTTGACAGATTGCATCCTAAAGGAAATGCACGAACATTTTGAAATTGAATTTTCTTCATTTATACCTCCAGATAATCTTCTTGCAGCTATTGAATTCTGTATAAAAACAGTGTCCAAATAGCCTAGAGATATGGATTGCAATAGCAAAGGGTTTGATGGAGAGCAGGAATTTTTTCCCGTTGAAAACCAAGTCAGAGACGGCAGGGGTGAATGGCATATGCCATCTCCTCTCCTATCCTTTTGTTGTATGCTCTTTTAAAAACTTGTGTGGCGCTCCACTGGAAAAGTTTGAGCTTGAATCTGCTGTCCAAGTTTGGAAGTCGTTTTATACTTCTGTGAACACATTGCAGCTTGAGAATCCTTGAGGATTTGGCTTTTATGTTAAGCATATGCTCAATCTACCGCTAGCAGATAATGTCTGCTTTGATCCGTTACATATCGTTGAGAGACGTTTCCATACTCCTATAAAAAATGCTCCATTCGCCTGTCAAACCGATCCATCCTTTAGTCACAGGGTGAGTACAACATCCATCCGAACCAACACAAGCGTTGATTGTTCACGAGTAGTTTATGATTTAGAGGAGAGACAGGGCACCCAAACTCCTAGAGGCCAAATCTAATGTCAAAAGCACACACAAACTAAGCAATTTTGTAAATGGTTGCCTTTCTCAGTTAGCATTCGCTTTGTATAATAGCTGCTGACATAATTATCTTGTCTTTTCCGGCATGCTTGTTAATTATTTACTACATGTTTAGTATTTGACCCCGCATTCTGGCCTTCTTCTCGGCAGATAATGAATATACAGAACAAAATTAATTTTATAGTACCATTTCTGTGCCTCTCTTGTTAATTAATTGGTTTTTGTAATGAAACTTAATTAATTACTCAATCATCAATTGTAGATTCAACAAGTTTTAGCTCCAGATTGAAATGAAAATTAAATTTGATCTCCTGTTTATTAATTTACCAAAATCTAACGATGAATTAAATAAAAAATTCGTAAATTTGAATGGTCATAGGGCGGGACGGGGTAGAGATAGCTTTTCCATCCCTATTCCCGCCCGCCCGCCATTTTTTAAATTTCTGTTTTTACGAAATTCTTCATTAAATTTTACGAAGATTGGAGAGAATTCGATATCGAAATCGAAATCGTTATCTTAAATATGACATTAGTAAGAGTGTTGATGGTAAAAATTTATAAATGTAAGAAACTTTGCAGATTCAGTGTCATTTCTATTTAATTTAGTCGGCCATTGGACTATAGTTTTTATTTAAGCTTACTCTCTCTATCGCTATCGCTATCTCTCTCCCTGTCCCTCTCCCTCCTTCCATCCAGCGAAAATAGACGCATTTCAGCAAGACACAAGAAATCAGGTGTCCTCCTTTACGATTAATCCAGACTTTAGGGTTTCAAAACCTCCGACTTCCATTGCTTTCGAGCTTTCCTCTCTCTCTCCTGGATTTCGTAGTTCAAAATCCTTCACTTTACTTCTACCGCACTAAGAATTTTGAACTTCGAAATTTTAGGGCTTCTTTGTTCTCCTCTTATCCGTCATCTCATTTCCTTTTTGGAACGTGGCCCTTGATTTTGTTTCTTTTATTTGGATCCGTTAATGGACGCTCGAGATTCATCTTCTTCGGCCACCCCGAATCGAGATGGGTCATCATCGGCTGTTGAGGACGATGGTGCTGTACCCGTCACTGCAGCTCTCGCCAAGGAAGCTGCATCGCTTTTCCAATCGGGGAAGTATGCTGGGTGTGTAGAGGTTTTGAACCAGTTGTTGCAGAAGAAAGAAGACGATCCTAAGGTTCGATTTATGATGCTTAATCTAATTTTGCTGAGTATTTGTAATTGCTGATGAAGCGATTTAATCTATTCTACGATTTCGTTAGTTCTTTGTGTGCATGTGAAGATGTGGTTTAGACTTTTAATTCTATGATAGTGGAATGTTGAACTCAGAAATAATTTGGGGTGTTTTTTCTTTCTTTTTTTTCCCCCAGCTTAGCGAATGTCAAGATTTGAATTATTCAAGGATTACATGCTAGAATCACATGCAATTTCATTGCATCATTTTGCTACACATAGGCTAATTCTGAAAGAACATCCAAGTTGGTGGTGATTTCCAGTGAATGTTATCATTTTCAATGGGTTTTATGATTATTAAATGGAATTTAGGTTCAGGTGCAAGTGTTTCTGTTCGTACATTATTTCATTTCTGTTTATCATTGGTCGATTTGAATGTTAATTCTTCTAGTCATAAAATTGTTAACTAAACCTCTGACGTGAAGGTGACATGCGTCCAATAGACTTTCCCCAGCAACTGATGGCCCGGAAAATATTTAGGTTTTTAGCAGCTTAATTAACAAGCAACGGTGATCAACGTCATCAAAGGTCCCATATGCATTTAAGATTGGTTTTACAAAATATGTGACCACTGTATTATCTGCCCATATCATTCTCATCCCCAGATCCAGTACTTTCAATTTCCGGAGCTTTTCATTTTAAAAGCATATAGAGAAATTCCGGGAGGGAACTAATATAATAATGACCCTGCCAAGTGACAATGGTTATGTGAATTTTGTTGTTTTTGTTAGTCTGACCAGTGACCATTCAATAAAACTGCGATCACATTTCACTTTGTAAAAAAAATTGTTGTTTATGGATTTTTGTCAGGTGCTTCATAATATCGCTATTTCTGAATACTTGAGGGATGGTTGTTCCAATCCAAAGAAGTTGCTTGAAGTATTAAACAATGTCAAGGTATGCCCTTAGACTAAAGTAATTCGCCATTGGTACTTTGTGTCCCCGTGTAAACTGCTACAATAAATTGATGTTCCTTGTAATATTTTACTATTTTCCTAACATTGTTTATCTCCTCAATCCATTGCCTAGCTTAATTGAACTTTGAACATTTAATTTTTGTAGCTATCTTTTAATTCATTGATTTGGCATAAGTTTCATAATATATTTTTCATATTTTTGGATGTCTTGTACAAAGGTAATCAAAATTTCATTCTTAATTGATGATATTACAAACCTTTTCATTAATTAAGGAATCTCTTTCTTGTTTGTTTCGTCATTGTAAAATTTTTCTTTTATTTTTTCTATAATGTAAATTCTTAACTTTTTACAGCACGTCTTACAATTCAAGCAGAAAACTATGAAGGAAAGATAATACATGCCTTGTCTAAAATCTAGTTTAGTGGAGGCCATATTAAATGTTTTTCATGTTTTATCATGCGACTAAAAATTCAATTTCAAGGATTGACCTTACATAATTAATAATTGAAGAACTCAGCTTTCTGTGAAACTTGATTTTTATTTAATAATAGATCTGAGTTGAGAGGGGGAAATGTAGCTTTCTTGGCTTTATTTTATCTTTTTGTTCTTTTAATAATGAGAAACATAGATGATCAAATATTCAAAAAAAAAAAAAAAAAAAAAAAAAAA